CCCCGGGACACTGAGCTGGGGTCCGGTGCGTGTGAAGGCTTCCTTAGGGCCCTGCCAGTGAGGTGGGGCGGTTGAAGGGCGGTCCAGAGCCCCCATGGCAGGCGGGCGCCAGTCCAGGCCAGTGCCTGGAGACTCAGCGCCCTGCCTCCCGGCAAGCCTCGAGCCACCCAGACGACGGACCGTCCTTTAGGGGGTGTGGACGTCCTGGCCTGTGCGTGGGTAAGCCTAGTCCTCAGTGGGGCCTTCCCTGTCTCATTCGATTCGCAGTCGGCCCGACGGCTCTGGATCGGGAGCGGCCTTCCCTAGGTCCTGCCCTGCCCAGGTAGGTCTCCCGACCCCGTGAAGGCCCCGCCCCGGGGCTGGGATCCCGGGCAGACTTCCCCGCTATCCCGGGAGGCCCAGGGCTGGGCCGCGTGGTGCCCGCACACCCACTGCCCCCCTCGGCCCCGTGTGTCTATGGGCCCGGTGGCAGCATGGCCTCCAAGCGTGCGAGTGACACGGAGAGGGCTGTGGCCTGCCCCCACCCCTGGGGAGGCCGTCCCGGGATCCGTGCGGACCCAGTGGCCCCGTAGGACGTCCTGCAGTCCGGGTGGCTGTCCCGCTTTCCACGCGGAGGCTGACCGGAGTCTGGCCCGCAGTCACGACCCAACCACATCACTCAGCCTTCGCTGGGCGGCACGGGGACGGGTCCTCGGGGAATCCTGGGCCACTCCACAGAGGCTGCGGAGGCAGACTGTGGTGGGGGAGGGGTTCTGACGGTGGCCAGAGGGCTGTGCCACCTCGACAAGCCAGGTGCATTGGTGGTGCCAGGTGCGGCCTGGGCAGTCGATGCGTGCCGCAGAGCTCCTGCGAGGGTCCTGGAGTGCTTTGGGCGGGGTCAGAGCTCTGGGGTCCGAGTCCATTGTCTGCCCGGCCCCGGCCCGGCCGTGCCTGCGGCTCAGTCCGCGGCTCTCTCCAGCAACCCCTTCAGAGCTGAGAGCTGGCCTGTGGCGGGGGACGAGGACCGCCTCTGGGGCCCACGTGCCCATAGCCACGCAGGCACTGGCTTCCCTGGGCCGGCAGGCAGGGCCCGGGGCTCGACCACCTGCCGCGTTGGTGACCCTGCTGTGGTTTTCCTTCCCACCCCAGCGGGCCCGAACTCGAGCTGCCCCGGCTGGGGCAGTTCCCTGTCCCACGTGCAGCCATCGCGGGACCCCGTTGGCCGTGTCCTGCGGCCGGGCACGTGGCCGTGGCTTACTTCCAGGTCTGTGACAGTGCCTGGGGCCTCCGGCGGGAGGAATGCCACATCTTCCAGACCATAGACATGTTCGGTGAGTCCTCCCGGGGCAGGGTGTCCCCGCTGAGCCACTGGGGCTCATCCCTGGACAGCGCCAGTCTTCCTTCGCGGAGCCAGCCGCGAGGCTGAGTCCCGGGGCACAGGGCCGCCTGAAGCGGGGCGGGGGCGGGTGGAGCGGGGGGGCCGGCACACAGGGCCCGGGTCTTGTGAGACCCCATGGGTGGTGGGTGTGAAGCATATCCACGTTCACTGCGGTGTCCGGGTCGGGCCTGCCTCTGGGGTGTGGGTCACACTGTTTGGCCCTGCCTGACACGCAGCCTGCCAGGTCCCGCGGGGCACGTGGTTGCGGCCCCAGAGGCTATTCCAGGGCAGGGCCAGCGCCAGCGCCCGCAAGCCTGCGCGCTTCAGGCTGGCTAGGAAGAGGGGGCCACGCCAGCAGCCTTCAGCCTGCTTCCTTCCCAACCCGCAGACAGCCCCTGAAAGCCGCAGCTCCCAGCTGTGGCAAGCAGACAAGTGGTCCCTGGCTTTCGCATCAGCTGGCGGAGCGCCGCGCGCCAGAGCGCTCTGGAACGCTCTGCGTGCCCTGGGTGTTCCGTGTGCCGGGGGGAGGCCTGAGTCGCCGGCCTCGACGCCTCTCCCAGCGACCACAGCATTCTGTCTGGGAAGCCCGGCAGTTGAGAGACCCAGGGGTCCTGTGGGTGTTGGGTGTCCCCCGCCCAGCGACTGGCAGAGCGGGCAGGGAGAGTCCGCTGTGCCGCCTACGCTGCCCTTGGAATTGTGTGGGTCGGGGTTAGATTTCTGCTGTCTGCAGCCCAGGGCGGAGATGGGCGCCCCGGGACACTGAGCTGGGGTCCGGTGCGTGTGAAGGCTTCCTTAGGGCCCTGCCACGTGAGGTGGGGCGGTTGAAGGGCGGTCCAGAGCCCCCATGGCAGGCGGGCGCCAGTCCAGGCCAGTGCCTGGAGACTCAGCGCCCTGCCTCCCGGCAAGCCTCGAGCCACCCAGACGACGGACCGTCCTTTAGGGGGTGTGGACGTCCTGGCCTGTGCGTGGGTAAGCCTAGTCCTCAGTGGGGCCTTCCCTGTCTCATTCGATTCGCAGTCGGCCCGACGGCTCTGGATCGGGAGCGGCCTTCCCTAGGTCCTGCCCTGCCCAGGTAGGTCTCCCGACCCCGTGAAGGCCCCGCCCCGGGGCTGGGATCCCGGGCAGACTTCCCCGCTATCCCGGGAGGCCCAGGGCTGGGCCGCGTGGTGCCCGCACACCCACTGCCCCCCTCGGCCCCGTGTGTCTATGGGCCCGGTGGCAGCATGGCCTCCAAGCGTGCGAGTGACACGGAGAGGGCTGTGGCCTGCCCCCACCCCTGGGGAGGCCGTCCCGGGATCCGTGCGGACCCAGTGGCCCCGTAGGACGTCCTGCAGTCCGGGTGGCTGTCCCGCTTTCCACGCGGAGGCTGACCGGAGTCTGGCCCGCAGTCACGACCCAACCACATCACTCAGCCTTCGCTGGGCGGCACGGGGACGGGTCCTCGGGGAATCCTGGGCCACTCCACAGAGGCTGCGGAGGCAGACTGTGGTGGGGGAGGGGTTCTGACGGTGGCCAGAGGGCTGTGCCACCTCGACAAGCCAGGTGCATTGGTGGTGCCAGGTGCGGCCTGGGCAGTCGATGCGTGCCGCAGAGCTCCTGCGAGGGTCCTGGAGTGCTTTGGGCGGGGTCAGAGCTCTGGGGTCCGAGTCCATTGTCTGCCCGGCCCCGGCCCGGCCGTGCCTGCGGCTCAGTCCGCGGCTCTCTCCAGCAACCCCTTCAGAGCTGAGAGCTGGCCTGTGGCGGGGGACGAGGACCGCCTCTGGGGCCCACGTGCCCATAGCCACGCAGGCACTGGCTTCCCTGGGCCGGCAGGCAGGGCCCGGGGCTCGACCACCTGCCGCGTTGGTGACCCTGCTGTGGTTTTCCTTCCCACCCCAGCGGGCCCGAACTCGAGCTGCCCCGGCTGGGGCAGTTCCCTGTCCCACGTGCAGCCATCGCGGGACCCCGTTGGCCGTGTCCTGCGGCCGGGCACGTGGCCGTGGCTTACTTCCAGGTCTGTGACAGTGCCTGGGGCCTCCGGCGGGAGGAATGCCACATCTTCCAGACCATAGACATGTTCGGTGAGTCCTCCCGGGGCAGGGTGTCCCCGCTGAGCCACTGGGGCTCATCCCTGGACAGCGCCAGTCTTCCTTCGCGGAGCCAGCCGCGAGGCTGAGTCCCGGGGCACAGGGCCGCCTGAAGCGGGGCGGGGGCGGGTGGAGCGGGGGGGCCGGCACACAGGGCCCGGGTCTTGTGAGACCCCATGGGTGGTGGGTGTGAAGCATATCCACGTTCACTGCGGTGTCCGGGTCGGGCCTGCCTCTGGGGTGTGGGTCACACTGTTTGGCCCTGCCTGACACGCAGCCTGCCAGGTCCCGCGGGGCACGTGGTTGCGGCCCCAGAGGCTATTCCAGGGCAGGGCCAGCGCCAGCGCCCGCAAGCCTGCGCGCTTCAGGCTGGCTAGGAAGAGGGGGCCACGCCAGCAGCCTTCAGCCTGCTTCCTTCCCAACCCGCAGACAGCCCCTGAAAGCCGCAGCTCCCAGCTGTGGCAAGCAGACAAGTGGTCCCTGGCTTTCGCATCAGCTGGCGGAGCGCCGCGCGCCAGAGCGCTCTGGAACGCTCTGCGTGCCCTGGGTGTTCCGTGTGCCGGGGGGAGGCCTGAGTCGCCGGCCTCGACGCCTCTCCCAGCGACCACAGCATTCTGTCTGGGAAGCCCGGCAGTTGAGAGACCCAGGGGTCCTGTGGGTGTTGGGTGTCCCCCGCCCAGCGACTGGCAGAGCGGGCAGGGAGAGTCCGCGTGCCGCCTACGCTGCCCTTGGAATTGTGTGGGTCGGGGTTAGATTTCTGCTGTCTGCAGCCCAGGGCGGAGATGGGCGCCCCGGGACACTGAGCTGGGGTCCGGTGCGTGTGAAGGCTTCCTTAGGGCCCTGCCAGTGAGGTGGGGCGGTTGAAGGGCGGTCCAGAGCCCCCATGGCAGGCGGGCGCCAGTCCAGGCCAGTGCCTGGAGACTCAGCGCCCTGCCTCCCGGCAAGCCTCGAGCCACCCAGACGACGGACCGTCCTTTAGGGGGTGTGGACGTCCTGGCCTGTGCGTGGGTAAGCCTAGTCCTCAGTGGGGCCTTCCCTGTCTCATTCGATTCGCAGTCGGCCCGACGGCTCTGGATCGGGAGCGGCCTTCCCTAGGTCCTGCCCTGCCCAGGTAGGTCTCCCGACCCCGTGAAGGCCCCGCCCCGGGGCTGGGATCCCGGGCAGACTTCCCCGCTATCCCGGGAGGCCCAGGGCTGGGCCGCGTGGTGCCCGCACACCCACTGCCCCCCTCGGCCCCGTGTGTCTATGGGCCCGGTGGCAGCATGGCCTCCAAGCGTGCGAGTGACACGGAGAGGGCTGTGGCCTGCCCCCACCCCTGGGGAGGCCGTCCCGGGATCCGTGCGGACCCAGTGGCCCCGTAGGACGTCCTGCAGTCCGGGTGGCTGTCCCGCTTTCCACGCGGAGGCTGACCGGAGTCTGGCCCGCAGTCACGACCCAACCACATCACTCAGCCTTCGCTGGGCGGCACGGGGACGGGTCCTCGGGGAATCCTGGGCCACTCCACAGAGGCTGCGGAGGCAGACTGTGGTGGGGGAGGGGTTCTGACGGTGGCCAGAGGGCTGTGCCACCTCGACAAGCCAGGTGCATTGGTGGTGCCAGGTGCGGCCTGGGCAGTCGATGCGTGCCGCAGAGCTCCTGCGAGGGTCCTGGAGTGCTTTGGGCGGGGTCAGAGCTCTGGGGTCCGAGTCCATTGTCTGCCCGGCCCCGGCCCGGCCGTGCCTGCGGCTCAGTCCGCGGCTCTCTCCAGCAACCCCTTCAGAGCTGAGAGCTGGCCTGTGGCGGGGGACGAGGACCGCCTCTGGGGCCCACGTGCCCATAGCCACGCAGGCACTGGCTTCCCTGGGCCGGCAGGCAGGGCCCGGGGCTCGACCACCTGCCGCGTTGGTGACCCTGCTGTGGTTTTCCTTCCCACCCCAGCGGGCCCGAACTCGAGCTGCCCCGGCTGGGGCAGTTCCCTGTCCCACGTGCAGCCATCGCGGGACCCCGTTGGCCGTGTCCTGCGGCCGGGCACGTGGCCGTGGCTTACTTCCAGGTCTGTGACAGTGCCTGGGGCCTCCGGCGGGAGGAATGCCACATCTTCCAGACCATAGACATGTTCGGTGAGTCCTCCCGGGGCAGGGTGTCCCCGCTGAGCCACTGGGGCTCATCCCTGGACAGCGCCAGTCTTCCTTCGCGGAGCCAGCCGCGAGGCTGAGTCCCGGGGCACAGGGCCGCCTGAAGCGGGGCGGGGGCGGGTGGAGCGGGGGGGGCCGGCACACAGGGCCCGGGTCTTGTGAGACCCCATGGGTGGTGGGTGTGAAGCATATCCACGTTCACTGCGGTGTCCGGGTCGGGCCTGCCTCTGGGGTGTGGGTCACACTGTTTGGCCCTGCCTGACACGCAGCCTGCCAGGTCCCGCGGGGCACGTGGTTGCGGCCCCAGAGGCTATTCCAGGGCAGGGCCAGCGCCAGCGCCCGCAAGCCTGCGCGCTTCAGGCTGGCTAGGAAGAGGGGGCCACGCCAGCAGCCTTCAGCCTGCTTCCTTCCCAACCCGCAGACAGCCCCTGAAAGCCGCAGCTCCCAGCTGTGGCAAGCAGACAAGTGGTCCCTGGCTTTCGCATCAGCTGGCGGAGCGCCGCGCGCCAGAGCGCTCTGGAACGCTCTGCGTGCCCTGGGTGTTCCGTGTGCCGGGGGGAGGCCTGAGTCGCCGGCCTCGACGCCTCTCCCAGCGACCACAGCATTCTGTCTGGGAAGCCCGGCAGTTGAGAGACCCAGGGGTCCTGTGGGTGTTGGGTGTCCCCCGCCCAGCGACTGGCAGAGCGGGCAGGGAGAGTCCGCTGTGCCGCCTACGCTGCCCTTGGAATTGTGTGGGTCGGGGTTAGATTTCTGCTGTCTGCAGCCCAGGGCGGAGATGGGCGCCCCGGGACACTGAGCTGGGGTCCGGTGCGTGTGAAGGCTTCCTTAGGGCCCTGCCCCGTGAGGTGGGGCGGTTGAAGGGCGGTCCAGAGCCCCCATGGCAGGCGGGCGCCAGTCCAGGCCAGTGCCTGGAGACTCAGCGCCCTGCCTCCCGGCAAGCCTCGAGCCACCCAGACGACGGACCGTCCTTTAGGGGGTGTGGACGTCCTGGCCTGTGCGTGGGTAAGCCTAGTCCTCAGTGGGGCCTTCCCTGTCTCATTCGATTCGCAGTCGGCCCGACGGCTCTGGATCGGGAGCGGCCTTCCCTAGGTCCTGCCCTGCCCAGGTAGGTCTCCCGACCCCGTGAAGGCCCCGCCCCGGGGCTGGGATCCCGGGCAGACTTCCCCGCTATCCCGGGAGGCCCAGGGCTGGGCCGCGTGGTGCCCGCACACCCACTGCCCCCCTCGGCCCCGTGTGTCTATGGGCCCGGTGGCAGCATGGCCTCCAAGCGTGCGAGTGACACGGAGAGGGCTGTGGCCTGCCCCCACCCCTGGGGAGGCCGTCCCGGGATCCGTGCGGACCCAGTGGCCCCGTAGGACGTCCTGCAGTCCGGGTGGCTGTCCCGCTTTCCACGCGGAGGCTGACCGGAGTCTGGCCCGCAGTCACGACCCAACCACATCACTCAGCCTTCGCTGGGCGGCACGGGGACGGGTCCTCGGGGAATCCTGGGCCACTCCACAGAGGCTGCGGAGGCAGACTGTGGTGGGGGAGGGGTTCTGACGGTGGCCAGAGGGCTGTGCCACCTCGACAAGCCAGGTGCATTGGTGGTGCCAGGTGCGGCCTGGGCAGTCGATGCGTGCCGCAGAGCTCCTGCGAGGGTCCTGGAGTGCTTTGGGCGGGGTCAGAGCTCTGGGGTCCGAGTCCATTGTCTGCCCGGCCCCGGCCCGGCCGTGCCTGCGGCTCAGTCCGCGGCTCTCTCCAGCAACCCCTTCAGAGCTGAGAGCTGGCCTGTGGCGGGGGACGAGGACCGCCTCTGGGGCCCACGTGCCCATAGCCACGCAGGCACTGGCTTCCCTGGGCCGGCAGGCAGGGCCCGGGGCTCGACCACCTGCCGCGTTGGTGACCCTGCTGTGGTTTTCCTTCCCACCCCAGCGGGCCCGAACTCGAGCTGCCCCGGCTGGGGCAGTTCCCTGTCCCACGTGCAGCCATCGCGGGACCCCGTTGGCCGTGTCCTGCGGCCGGGCACGTGGCCGTGGCTTACTTCCAGGTCTGTGACAGTGCCTGGGGCCTCCGGCGGGAGGAATGCCACATCTTCCAGACCATAGACATGTTCGGTGAGTCCTCCCGGGGCAGGGTGTCCCCGCTGAGCCACTGGGGCTCATCCCTGGACAGCGCCAGTCTTCCTTCGCGGAGCCAGCCGCGAGGCTGAGTCCCGGGGCACAGGGCCGCCTGAAGCGGGGCGGGGGCGGGTGGAGCGGGGGGGCCGGCACACAGGGCCCGGGTCTTGTGAGACCCCATGGGTGGTGGGTGTGAAGCATATCCACGTTCACTGCGGTGTCCGGGTCGGGCCTGCCTCTGGGGTGTGGGTCACACTGTTTGGCCCTGCCTGACACGCAGCCTGCCAGGTCCCGCGGGGCACGTGGTTGCGGCCCCAGAGGCTATTCCAGGGCAGGGCCAGCGCCAGCGCCCGCAAGCCTGCGCGCTTCAGGCTGGCTAGGAAGAGGGGGCCACGCCAGCAGCCTTCAGCCTGCTTCCTTCCCAACCCGCAGACAGCCCCTGAAAGCCGCAGCTCCCAGCTGTGGCAAGCAGACAAGTGGTCCCTGGCTTTCGCATCAGCTGGCGGAGCGCCGCGCGCCAGAGCGCTCTGGAACGCTCTGCGTGCCCTGGGTGTTCCGTGTGCCGGGGGGAGGCCTGAGTCGCCGGCCTCGACGCCTCTCCCAGCGACCACAGCATTCTGTCTGGGAAGCCCGGCAGTTGAGAGACCCAGGGGTCCTGTGGGTGTTGGGTGTCCCCCGCCCAGCGACTGGCAGAGCGGGCAGGGAGAGTCCGCTGTGCCGCCTACGCTGCCCTTGGAATTGTGTGGGTCGGGGTTAGATTTCTGCTGTCTGCAGCCCAGGGCGGAGATGGGCGCCCCGGGACACTGAGCTGGGGTCCGGTGCGTGTGAAGGCTTCCTTAGGGCCCTGCCCGTGAGGTGGGGCGGTTGAAGGGCGGTCCAGAGCCCCCATGGCAGGCGGGCGCCAGTCCAGGCCAGTGCCTGGAGACTCAGCGCCCTGCCTCCCGGCAAGCCTCGAGCCACCCAGACGACGGACCGTCCTTTAGGGGGTGTGGACGTCCTGGCCTGTGCGTGGGTAAGCCTAGTCCTCAGTGGGGCCTTCCCTGTCTCATTCGATTCGCAGTCGGCCCGACGGCTCTGGATCGGGAGCGGCCTTCCCTAGGTCCTGCCCTGCCCAGGTAGGTCTCCCGACCCCGTGAAGGCCCCGCCCCGGGGCTGGGATCCCGGGCAGACTTCCCCGCTATCCCGGGAGGCCCAGGGCTGGGCCGCGTGGTGCCCGCACACCCACTGCCCCCCTCGGCCCCGTGTGTCTATGGGCCCGGTGGCAGCATGGCCTCCAAGCGTGCGAGTGACACGGAGAGGGCTGTGGCCTGCCCCCACCCCTGGGGAGGCCGTCCCGGGATCCGTGCGGACCCAGTGGCCCCGTAGGACGTCCTGCAGTCCGGGTGGCTGTCCCGCTTTCCACGCGGAGGCTGACCGGAGCTGGCCCGCAGTCACGACCCAACCACATCACTCAGCCTTCGCTGGGCGGCACGGGGACGGGTCCTCGGGGAATCCTGGGCCACTCCACAGAGGCTGCGGAGGCAGACTGTGGTGGGGGAGGGGTTCTGACGGTGGCCAGAGGGCTGTGCCACCTCGACAAGCCAGGTGCATTGGTGGTGCCAGGTGCGGCCTGGGCAGTCGATGCGTGCCGCAGAGCTCCTGCGAGGGTCCTGGAGTGCTTTGGGCGGGGTCAGAGCTCTGGGGTCCGAGTCCATTGTCTGCCTGCCCGGCCCGGCCCGGGCCCGGCCGGCCGGCCGTGTCTGCGGCTCAGTCCGCGGCTGTCTCCAGCAACCCCTGCAGAGCTGAGAGCTGGCCTGTGGCGGGGGACGAGGACCGCCTCTGGGGCCCACGTGCCCATAGCCACGCACGCACTGGCTTCCCTGGGCCGGCAGGCAGGGCCCGGGGCTCGACCACCTGCCGCGTTGGTGACCCTGCTGTGGTTTTCCTTCCCACCCCAGCGGGCCCGAACTCGAGCTGCCCCGGCTGGGGCAGTTCCCTGTCCCATGTGCAGCCATCGCGGGACCCCGTTGGCCGTGTCCTGCGGCCGGGCACGTGGCCGTGGCTTACCTCCAGGTCTGTGACAGCGCCTGGGGCCTCCGGCGGGAGGAATGCCACATCTTCCAGACCATAGACATGTTCGGTGAGTCCTCCCGGGGCACGGTGTCCCCGCTGAGCCACTGGGGCTCGTCCCTGGACAGCGCCAGTCTTCCTTCGCGGAGCCAGCCGCGAGGCTGAGTCCCGGGGCACAGGGCCGCCTGAAGCGGGGCGGGGGCGGGTGGAGCGGGGGGGCCGGCACACAGGGCCCGGGTCTTGTGAGACCCCATGGGTGGTGGGTGTGAAGCATATCCACGTTCACTGCGGTGTCCGGGTCGGGCCTGCCTCTGGGGTGTGGGTCACACTGTTTGGCCCTGCCTGACACGCAGCCTGCCAGGTCCCGCGGGGCACGTGGTTGCGGCCCCAGAGGCTATTCCAGGGCAGGGCCAGCGCCCGCAAGCCTGCGCGCTTCACAGGCTGCCTAGGAAGAGGGGGCCACGCCAGCAGCCTTCAGCCTGCTTCCTTGCCAACCCGCAGACAGCCCCTGAAAGCCGCAGCTCCCAGCTGTGGCAAGCAGACAAGTGGTCCCTGGCTTTCGCATCAGCTGGCGGAGCGCCGAGCGCCAGAGCGCTCTGGAACCACAGCTCTGCGTGCCCTGGGTGTTCCGTGTGCCGGGGGGAGGCCTGAGTCGCCGGCCTCGACGCCTCTCCCAGCGACCACGGCATTCTGGGAAGCCCGGCAGTTGAGAGACCCAGGGGTCCTGTGGGTGTTGGGTGTCCCCCGCCCAGCGACTGGCAGGGCGGGCAGGGAGAGTCCGCTGTCCCGCCTACGCTGCCCTTGGAATTGTGTGGGTCGGGGTTAGATTTCTGCTGTCGGCAGCCCAGGGCGGAGATGGGCGCCCCGGGACACTGAGCTGGGGTCCGGTGCGTGTGAAGGCTTCCTTAGGGCCCTGCCCCGTGAGGTGGGGCGGTTGAAGGGCGGTCCAGAGCCCCCATGGCAGGCGGGCGCCAGTCCAGGCCAGTGCCTGGAGACTCAGCGCCCTGCCTCCAGGCAAGCCTCGAGCCACCAAGACGACGGGCCGTCCTTTAGGGGGTGTGGACGTCCTGGCCTGTGCGTGGGTAAGCCTAGTCCTCAGTGGGGCCTTCCCTGTCTCATTCGATTCGCAGTCGGCCCGACGGCTCTGGATCGGGAGCGGCCTTCCCTAGGTCCTGCCCTGCCCAGGTAGGTCTCCCGACCCCGTGAAGGCCCCGCCCCGGGGCTGGGATCCCGGGCAGACTTCCCCGCTATCCCGGGAGGCCCAGGGCTGGGCCGCGTGGTGCCCGCACACCCACTGCCCCCCTCGGCCCCGTGTGTCTATGGGCCCGGTGGCAGCATGGCCTCCAAGCGTGCGAGTGACACGGAGAGGGCTGTGGCCTGCCCCCACCCCTGGGGAGGCCGTCCCGGGATCCGTGCGGACCCAGTGGCCCCGTAGGACGTCCTGCAGTCCGGGTGGCTGTCCCGCTTTCCACGCGGAGGCTGACCGGAGCTGGCCCGCAGTCACGACCCAACCACATCACTCAGCCTTCGCTGGGCGGCACGGGGACGGGTCCTCGGGGAATCCTGGGCCACTCCACAGAGGCTGCGGAGGCAGACTGTGGTGGGGGAGGGGTTCTGACGGTGGCCAGAGGGCTGTGCCACCTCGACAAGCCAGGTGCATTGGTGGTGCCAGGTGCGGCCTGGGCAGTCGATGCGTGCCGCAGAGCTCCTGCGAGGGTCCTGGAGTGCTTTGGGCGGGGTCAGAGCTCTGGGGTCCGAGTCCATTGTCTGCCCGGCCCCGGCCCGGCCGTGCCTGCGGCTCAGTCCGCGGCTCTCTCCAGCAACCCCTTCAGAGCTGAGAGCTGGCCTGTGGCGGGGGACGAGGACCGCCTCTGGGGCCCACGTGCCCATAGCCACGCAGGCACTGGCTTCCCTGGGCCGGCAGGCAGGGCCCGGGGCTCGACCACCTGCCGCGTTGGTGACCCTGCTGTGGTTTTCCTTCCCACCCCAGCGGGCCCGAACTCGAGCTGCCCCGGCTGGGGCAGTTCCCTGTCCCACGTGCAGCCATCGCGGGACCCCGTTGGCCGTGTCCTGCGGCCGGGCACGTGGCCGTGGCTTACTTCCAGGTCTGTGACAGTGCCTGGGGCCTCCGGCGGGAGGAATGCCACATCTTCCAGACCATAGACATGTTCGGTGAGTCCTCCCGGGGCAGGGTGTCCCCGCTGAGCCACTGGGGCTCATCCCTGGACAGCGCCAGTCTTCCTTCGCGGAGCCAGCCGCGAGGCTGAGTCCCGGGGCACAGGGCCGCCTGAAGCGGGGCGGGGGCGGGTGGAGCGGGGGGGCCGGCACACAGGGCCCGGGTCTTGTGAGACCCCATGGGTGGTGGGTGTGAAGCATATCCACGTTCACTGCGGTGTCCGGGTCGGGCCTGCCTCTGGGGTGTGGGTCACACTGTTTGGCCCTGCCTGACACGCAGCCTGCCAGGTCCCGCGGGGCACGTGGTTGCGGCCCCAGAGGCTATTCCAGGGCAGGGCCAGCGCCAGCGCCCGCAAGCCTGCGCGCTTCAGGCTGGCTAGGAAGAGGGGGCCACGCCAGCAGCCTTCAGCCTGCTTCCTTCCCAACCCGCAGACAGCCCCTGAAAGCCGCAGCTCCCAGCTGTGGCAAGCAGACAAGTGGTCCCTGGCTTTCGCATCAGCTGGCGGAGCGCCGCGCGCCAGAGCGCTCTGGAACCACAGCTCTGCGTGCCCTGGGTGTTCCGTGTGCCGGGGGGAGGCCTGAGTCGCCGGCCTCGACGCCTCTCCCAGCGACCACAGCATTCTGTCTGGGAAGCCCGGCAGTTGAGAGACCCAGGGGTCCTGTGGGTGTTGGGTGTCCCCCGCCCAGCGACTGGCAGAGCGGGCAGGGAGAGTCCGCTGTGCCGCCTACGCTGCCCTTGGAATTGTGTGGGTCGGGGTTAGATTTCTGCTGTCTGCAGCCCAGGGCGGAGATGGGCGCCCCGGGACACTGAGCTGGGGTCCGGTGCGTGTGAAGGCTTCCTTAGGGCCCTGCCAGGAGAGGTGGGGCGGTTGAAGGGCGGTCCAGAGCCCCCATGGCAGGCGGGCGCCAGTCCAGGCCAGTGCCTGGAGACTCAGCGCCCTGCCTCCCGGCAAGCCTCGAGCCACCCAGACGACGGACCGTCCTTTAGGGGGTGTGGACGTCCTGGCCTGTGCGTGGGTAAGCCTAGTCCTCAGTGGGGCCTTCCCTGTCTCATTCGATTCGCAGTCGGCCCGACGGCTCTGGATCGGGAGCGGCCTTCCCTAGGTCCTGCCCTGCCCAGGTAGGTCTCCCGACCCCGTGAAGGCCCCGCCCCGGGGCTGGGATCCCGGGCAGACTTCCCCGCTATCCCGGGAGGCCCAGGGCTGGGCCGCGTGGTGCCCGCACACCCACTGCCCCCCTCGGCCCCGTGTGTCTATGGGCCCGGTGGCAGCATGGCCTCCAAGCGTGCGAGTGACACGGAGAGGGCTGTGGCCTGCCCCCACCCCTGGGGAGGCCGTCCCGGGATCCGTGCGGACCCAGTGGCCCCGTAGGACGTCCTGCAGTCCGGGTGGCTGTCCCGCTTTCCACGCGGAGGCTGACCGGAGCTGGCCCGCAGTCACGACCCAACCACATCACTCAGCCTTCGCTGGGCGGCACGGGGACGGACGGGTCCTCGGGGAATCCTGGGCCACTCCACAGAGGCTGCGGAGGCAGACTGTGGTGGGGGAGGGGTTCTGACGGTGGCCAGAGGGCTGTGCCCACCTCGACAAGCCAGGTGCATTGGTGGTGCCAGGTGCGGCCTGGGCAGTCGATGCGTGCCGCAGAGCTCCTGCGAGGGTCCTGGAGTGCTTTGGGCGGGGTCAGAGCTCTGGGGTCCGAGTCCATTGTCTGCCTGCCCGGCCCGGCCGGCCCGGCCCGGCCGTGCCTGCGGCTCAGTCCGCGGCTGCTCTCCAGCAACCCCTTCAGAGCTGAGAGCTGGCCTGTGGCGGGGGACGAGGACCGCCTCTGGGGCCCACGTGCCCATAGCCACGCACGGCACTGGCTTCCCTGGGCCGGCAGGCAGGGCCCGGGGCTCGACCACCTGCCGCGTTGGTGACCCTGCTGTGGTTTTCCTTCCCACCCCAGCGGGCCCGAACTCGAGCTGCCCCGGCTGGGGCAGTTCCCTGTCCCACGTGCAGCCATCGCGGGACCCCGTTGGCCGTGTCCTGCGGCCGGGCACGTGGCCGTGGCTTACCTTCCAGGTCTGTGACAGTGCCTGGGGCCTCCGGCGGGAGGAATGCCACATCTTCCAGACCATAGACATGTTCGGTGAGTCCTCCCGGGGCACGGGTGTCCCCGCTGAGCCACTGGGGCTCATCCCTGGACAGCGCCAGTCTTCCTTCGCGGAGCCAGCCGCGAGGCTGAGTCCCGGGGCACAGGGCCGCCTGAAGCGGGGCGGGGGCGGGTGGAGCGGGGGGGCCGGCACACAGGGCCCGGGTCTTGTGAGACCCCATGGGTGGTGGGTGTGAAGCATATCCACGTTCACTGCGGTGTCCGGGTCGGGCCTGCCTCTGGGGTGTGGGTCACACTGTTTGGCCCTGCCTGACACGCAGCCTGCCAGGTCCCGCGGGGCACGTGGTTGCGGCCCCAGAGGCTATTCCAGGGCAGGGCCAGCGCCAGCGCCCGCAAGCCTGCGCGCTTCAGGCTGGCTAGGAAGAGGGGGCCACGCCAGCAGCCTTCAGCCTGCTTCCTTCCCAACCCGCAGACAGCCCCTGAAAGCCGCAGCTCCCAGCTGTGGCAAGCAGACAAGTGGTCCCTGGCTTTCGCATCAGCTGGCGGAGCGCCGCGCGCCAGAGCGCTCTGGAACGCTCTGCGTGCCCTGGGTGTTCCGTGTGCCGGGGGGAGGCCTGAGTCGCCGGCCTCGACGCCTCTCCCAGCGACCACAGCATTCTGTCTGGGAAGCCCGGCAGTTGAGAGACCCAGGGGTCCTGTGGGTGTTGGGTGTCCCCCGCCCAGCGACTGGCAGAGCGGGCAGGGAGAGTCCGCTGTGCCGCCTACGCTGCCCTTGGAATTGTGTGGGTCGGGGTTAGATTTCTGCTGTCTGCAGCCCAGGGCGGAGATGGGCGCCCCGGGACACTGAGCTGGGGTCCGGTGCGTGTGAAGGCTTCCTTAGGGCCCTGCCCGTGAGGTGGGGCGGTTGAAGGGCGGTCCAGAGCCCCCATGGCAGGCGGGCGCCAGTCCAGGCCAGTGCCTGGAGACTCAGCGCCCTGCCTCCCGGCAAGCCTCGAGCCACCCAGACGACGGACCGTCCTTTAGGGGGTGTGGACGTCCTGGCCTGTGCGTGGGTAAGCCTAGTCCTCAGTGGGGCCTTCCCTGTCTCATTCGATTCGCAGTCGGCCCGACGGCTCTGGATCGGGAGCGGCCTTCCCTAGGTCCTGCCCTGCCCAGGTAGGTCTCCCGACCCCGTGAAGGCCCCGCCCCGGGGCTGGGATCCCGGGCAGACTTCCCCGCTATCCCGGGAGGCCCAGGGCTGGGCCGCGTGGTGCCCGCACACCCACTGCCCCCCTCGGCCCCGTGTGTCTATGGGCCCGGTGGCAGCACGGCCTCCAAGCGTGCGAGTGACACGGAGGGGGCTGTGGCCTGCCCCCACCCCTGGGGAGGCCGTCCCGGGATCCCTGCGCACCCAGTGGCCCCGTAGGACGTCCTGCGGTCCGGGTGGCTGTCCCGCTTTCCACGCGGAGGCTGGCCCGCAGGCACGACCCAACCACATCACTCAGCCTTCGGTGGGCGGCACGGGGACGGACGGGTCCTCGGGGAATCCTGGGCCACTCCACAGAGGCTGCGGAGGCAGACTGTGGTGGGGGAGGGGTTCTGACGGTGGCCCGAGGGCTGTCCCACCTCGACAAGCCAGGTGCATTGGTGGTGCCAGGTGCGGCCTGGGCAGTCGATGCGTGCCGCCAGAGCTCCTGCGAGGGTCCTGGAGTGCTTTGGGCGGGGTCAGAGCTCTGGGGTCCGAGTCCATTGTCTGCCTGGCCCCGGCCCCGGGCCCGGGCCCGGCCCGGCCCGGCCGTGTCTGCGGCTCAGTCCGCGGCTGTCTCCAGCAACCCCTGCAGAGCTGAGAGCTGGCCTGTGGCGGGGGACGAGGACCGCCTCTGGGGCCCACGTGCCCATAGCCACGCACGCACTGGCTTCCCTGGGCCGGCAGGCAGGGCCCGGGGCTCGACCACCTGCCGCGTTGGTGACCCTGCTGTGGTTTTCCTTCCCACCCCAGCGGGCCCGAACTCGAGCTGCCCCGGCTGGGGCAGTTCCCTGTCCCACGTGCAGCCATCGCGGGACCCCGTTGGCCGTGTCCTGCGGCCGGGCACGTGGCCGTGGCTTACCTCCAGGTCTGTGACAGTGCCTGGGGCCTCCGGCGGGAGGAATGCCACATCTTCCAGACCATAGACATGTTCGGTGAGTCCTCCCGGGGCAGGGTGTCCCCGCTGAGCCACTGGGGCTCATCCCTGGACAGCGCCAGTCTTCCTTCGCGGAGCCAGCCGCGAGGCTGAGTCCCGAGACACAGGGCCGCCTGAAGGGGGGGGAGCGGGTGGAGGGAGGGGCGGTCTTGTGAGACCCCATGGGTGGTGGGTGTGAAGCATATCCACATTCACTGCGGTGTCCGGGTCGGTCCTGCAGTCTGGGGTGTGGGTCACACAGTTTGGCCCTGCCTGACACGCAGCCTGCCAGGTCCCGCGGGGCACTTCGTTGCCATATCCATGTTCACTTTGGTTTCTGGCTTGGGCCGGCCCCCTGAGTTGGGACACAATGTTTGGCCCTGAGATACAGCCTGCCAGGTAGGCTCTTCCAGGGCAGCTGCCTGCAAGCCTGTGTGCTTCAGGTTGGCTAGGACGCAGGGTGCACTACAGCAGCCTTCCACCTGCTTCCTACACAACCTGGAGACACCCCCTGAAATCCGCATGCTCCCAGCTCTCGCATGTTCCTGAGGCTTTGGCCATGATGGTGAGTACTCCCATGGAAATGTGCTCCTTTGAGCCTCACAGTGTCTCTCTAGTTCATAGCCATGTGTCCACCCTGCTGCCGCTTGTCCTGAATCAGTATGGCAGAATGTGATGGGCTGAAGCAAGGCACCGTGCCTAATGGTGTGAGTCCCCAGCTTGTAGCGTCTGGAGTATCTCTCTGGTCAGTGCGGGTCTGCTGGTTGGTTCAGCCCCTGGACTTTGAGTTATACCTGTATCCCCTGAGATCTCCACCATGAGTTCATTTCATGTCATGTCATCCTAAGCACCTCCTCCATTGAGAGTTGTGGAGTTGTGAGGCCCAAGGCCTCTCCTGTGTGACATTCATGCGTTGGTGTCTCTCACTTGGTTGATTCCTTGATTCTTAGGTCTTGCCTGGCTCCACTTGGCTGTGCTCTCAGGTCATGGTACCCAAGGCAGGTGGAGCAACATCACACTGGCCTCTGGGCCTCCCACCGGTGAGGCACCAGTGAGGTACCTGTCTGGACTGTGGTGTAGGAGCAAAGGACATATGTGCCAATTGCTGTCTCCCCTGAGATTCATGCCCTGATTGGCACTCCCTTCTGGCCATGGTCCCAGGTGTCCTCATCCACCTCTGGCTCCTAGAAATCCCTGAAGTAAACCACGTGGATGAGTAAGTTCATGAGTCCTCTAGAAAGCTTACCCAATCGTCAGTGTTCCACCACCCACCACCAGGCTCTGTATTTAAACCTTCGGCCTGAGAGGGCCTGCTGATGTAGAAGGTTTCTGGGTGGCTCCAGAAGTCCCAGTGGGCCAGAGGCTCTATAGACTTGATGGCTCTGTTCAGTGGCAGTACACACACACAAAATGGTGTGTCACCGGCACCTGAACACCGGATGGGAGAGGACTGGATTTCGGCCTTGCCTCCCGGAGGCCACTGAAGCTACTGGTGGTTGTGACATGGGCGGGTGGGGGGTTCTTAAGGTAGTCTAAGGGTTTGCACACACCCAGGACAGAGTAAGTGTACGTGATATCCTGCCAAAACACAGAGAAACCAAGAGAGTGGGATCCCCTGGCTCCCAGGAAGGTAGACTAGCTGGTGTCTTTATGGTTTACCCTTTTGTGGTCCTTATTGTGGTAAAACAGGTTAAGCCACCACCTGCAACACTGGCATCCCATTGGGTATCAGTTTGTGTCCCAGCTGCTTCAACTTCAACTAATGGCCGCTCTCTCTCTCTCTAACTCTGCATTTCAAAAAATAAATAAATAAATAAATAAATAAATCTTTAAAAAACAAAAAAACTGGATGGCGCCGTGGCTCAATAGGCTAATCCTCTGCTGTGGCACCAGCACACCAGGTTCTAGTCCCAGTCAGAGTGCCAGATTCTATCCCGGTTGCTCCTCTTACTGTCCAGCTCTCTTGCTGTGGCCCGGGAGTGCAGTAGAGGATGGCCCAAGTGCTTGGGCCCTGCATCTGCATGGGAAACCAGGAGAAGCACCTGGCTCCTGGTTTCGGATCAGCGCGGTGCACTGGCCGCAGCACGCTGGCCGCAACGGCCATTGGGGGGTGAACCAATGGAAAAGGAAGACCTTTGTCTCTCTCTCTCACTGTCCACTCTGCCTGTCAAAAAACAAACAAACAAAAAGACTTACCTTTTTTTGCCTCCCTTGATATTCCTGAGTCAGACACTCACTCTCCCAATGCATGTAAATTTACCTGTAGCATTCCAGTCAGACACTGTGTGACACAGTTACTTGTACTGGGATCTTAATGTGCCTTTTACTGTCTGATTTTTATTTGTAGTGTACCAGATGTACGAAGAGAAGGTAGCAGGTTATCTTGGTCCTAACAAACCCAAGTAAGTCTCCAACTTCTGTTACTGCTTACTTTGTTTCAACACTTGGGGAATCTAACTCCAGGGAGAAAACAGCATGTGTTGGGGTGACTCACCGTTACCCCTCAAGCCCATAGCCGAATGTTTGTAGGAACAAAGTTATTCCTTATCATGTGAGCGACCTGCAAGTTTCCATTGTTTTCCCCACTCTCTCCCTTGGATTAACTACAGGGCAAGCGCAGGTCAACCAGCCTACTCAGGGAGTTTGGTCAGTCCTGGCCACTGCCCTGCCACACTCAAGGCAGGGTGATCCCTTTCTGCCCTCAGCTTGTTGCCCGTGTGTATTTTTGCCTTCCACTGATAACACAAAATGAGATGGGACCTGACCTCGTCAGATGGTGGGCAACAGGCTGGGGTGAGAAACCTGGGGTGCTAAAGCACCTCCTCAGCAGGTGCATCTTTGTGACTGAAGCCTGCACACTTCATGCCTTCATTGGTTTCTCACATGACCAGTAGTAGGTTCTGTTTGGCTCATTAGTATCAGTGGAGAGGGTGCCAATGGTGGGTGGCACAGCCTTTTTCCTGAGTAGCTCACTGCCCCTGTCCCTCAGTCTCGGGCTCTGTCTGCACTCCCACTGTGAGGCTTCAGCTTGATCAAGCAGTGAGCCACTGGATGGGCTCCCTTTCCTTTGGTGACAGAACCTTTGCCCTGCTGTTTAAGCCAGGAAGGTCGTGGGAAGATTGCTCCTTTTGTTAATTTCTTATTCCCTTCCGCACCTCCAGGGTCTGTCTGAAGCTGCCCAAACCAGAACAGCCTGAGTTCCTGCTCAGCCCAGTGGCGTGTCCATATCCATCTTTAACCATGCCATCACTTGTGGATTGCACCTGCCGCACTGCTGGCAGTGACTGGGGTCGTGTGCAGGTGCCACACTTCTGCCTGTTTGTTTCTGCTAGTGAGTATTCCCAAGGAAATTTGGCCAAGTTCATAATGATCTCCCTGTGTGAAAACAGGACATGTACCCTACACAGTTCTCCCCTTGCCATTCAGTGTAGTTTTGCACACCGAGCCTAAGGCACATTGTGTTCAGGGAGTTGTACGATAGAGTTAAGGCACCATCATCATTTAGTCTGCAGCCATTGCTTCCTGTTTGTCCAAATTCATGTACACATCACCCAGTATTTACTCTCATGTCTGTACTTAAATCCCTCCTCTCCTTTCAGGTGGCACATTGAAGGCTTGTCCTCAGAAACACTTGAATGGAATACTAGGTTGTCACCTGTCAAAGGTGCCAGTCTCACATGCAGAGTTGTGGGTGAGACTACAGGGATACACCTGTCTTCAAGTCCCAGTGGATCCGCAATTAGCCTCTGGTAGCAATGAGGCCAGGCATAGTGATTCCTCCAGCACTTGCAGCTTTGCAGAAAACATCGATTCAAGAAACCAGTTGTTGCTCCACAAAGGTAAGAAAGAAAAGGCCACAGGAAGCTTCCATTGATACATGGATTTTCACTGTGTATGGGTGAAGGAGACAATTCAGACCCCGTCGTGTTCTCTGAGGGTCAAGTTGAAGTCTGCAGTGCTGTAACATGGTAAAGTGAGCCAATGCCTGATTTTAAGCATCCGCTCTGCCTCCAGGTCATCGGCTTCCCAAGTATTTTATGTTGAACTTGGCCAAGTTACTTATCACTGGCATTTATATCTCATCCCCCATTTCAGACTGTGCTGTTATTAAGCACCATAATTTCCAGAGTGACTGGCTAAGAATAGCTCAGTATCCTCTTTAGGTGTTTAGTGACTCGTCGTTTAATTTGCATATAGTTGAAGACTAACAAAGTGATCTTGTACTTTTGTTCCACGTGCAAATCAACCATGTTTGTAGTGTAACTTCCCAGGGACTGTCTTTGATAAGACAAGTGACTGACTTACTTTCCCTCCCTCCATCCCTCCCTCCCTCCCTTCCCTTTTCTGTCTCTCTCTCTATTTTTCCTTTCTCCCTCTGTTGCTCTTTTTTCTCCCTTCTATCTTCCTTCCCTCCCTCCCTTCTTTCCTTTCTCTCTTTCTCTCACTCTCACCCTCTCTTTCTCTTTCCTTTCTTTCTCTTTCTCCTTTCATTCTTGCTTCCTCAACATTCCCTTCTAAGCCAATTTTCCTCTGTCAGACACTTTCAGCCACAAGGTGAGAGCCATATTCTTGTCAGTGTACATTCTAGGCCCTCACCTTGGTTTCCTGATTAATTCAACTTATTTTCTGGTCCCCTCTCTTTTTGAAATGAACAGGAGCCTTCATACATGAAGTGATCGGGCTCGTTTCTGACTCTTCCTGGAATTTATCAGCTCCGCTCATCTCCATAGCATGTCCCAGTTTCTTGCCCACAGTGATCCACTTCTGCTCAGATTTCCTTACAACTGAGCCTTGGACCCTCCTGCCCATCCTACCTGGATCCTGTCCATCCTTTTCCCTGCCTCTATGGTTGCCTGTGGCTTATGTCTGCTGCAGCCTACCTTCTAGAAAGGAGGGGACTGGTGTGCTCAGGAGGAGGAATATGTCTCATGTGACAGTGACCACCAGTTGACTCTTTGGGAGAGGGCTCCTGGCCAGTGCTCAGTGAGAGGCAGGCATACATACTCTCTGCCACATGTGCCATGATACCTTGTCCCTCCCAACTCCTCTTTACTTCCCCTGATCTTTTACTTCTCCTTGGATTCTCACAGTACCAGCACAGCTCACCCACTGGCTCAGTCACTCTCTTCCTGTTCACACTCAAGGTCACTCTCTTCCTGTTCACATTCAAGGGATAATTGGCTGAGCAATGGTAGGTTCGAGGCAAGACTTTGCAGTCTAGGGTGCTTTGAAAGGGCTTTGCAGATTTTGACACCAACCATACTGTGCTTTCTATCTGGTGCATAGCAGGTTGTGTTACTGACAACATATATTTCTCTCACTCTTCCTAAATCTTTTTTTTTTATTTCCAACCTATTGTGAAAGCTGTCAGAATGCAGGAGCCCAAATTTCCAAAACCCCAGTTAAGGTCATTTTTTGATATAGTATGTACACACACACATGACACTGCGAGTGCTTCAGGATGTTCATGGAATGCCATGGGTGTTGTGGCATAGTGGATAACTGCCCCTTTGGGCTGTCCATGTTCTTTGTCAGTGTACCTAGGTACAAATTTATCTTCTGTCTCTGATCCAGCTCCTTGCTACTGTGTACCCTGGGAGGCAGCATGTGATGACTCAGTTAGTTGGGTGCCTGCCCTGGATGTGGGAGGCTGAGATAATGTTCCTGGCTCCTAGGTTTGGCCTAGCCCATTCTTAGCTGTTGCAGATATTTGGGGAGTGAAAAAGTACATGGTTGATTCCTCCCTCTCACTCTGACATTCTGTGTAACTGTCACTCTTGAATTTTCATTGAAATGAAAATAAATGGGGCCGGTCTCGTGGCGTAGTTGGTGAATCCTCCACCTGCGGTGCCAGCATCCCATATGGATGCTGGTTCTAGTCCCATCTGCCCCTTTTCCAATCCAGCTCTCTGCTATGGCTTGGTAAAGCAAGATGGTCCAAGTGCTTGGGCCCTTGTACCCACATGATAAACTGGGAGCAACCATCTGGCTCCTGGCTTTAGACAGGCAAATCTCCAACCATTGCTGCCATCTGAGGAGTGAACCAATGGAAGGAAGACCTTTCTCTGTCTCTCCCTCTCACTGTCTGTAACTCTCCCTCTCAAATAAAAATAAATAAATACATCTTTTTTAAAAAGAAAAAGGAAATAAATATTTAAAAAGATGTTCATGGAAAATGGAATTAAACATGAGTTCTGTATGTCACAGAAACTTTTTGAAATCCTTGCACTGTGTGGTCATAATATGCATTTCCATAAACTTTCTAAAGAACACTCCAAAATATATTTGTCCTTGTATGTTCCTGAATTCCATGATATATATCATATTATTTTCAGTAATGTTACATATAATATGCTCATATGAAGTGTATAATGATACATGTTTTTCATCTTCTCCAATTTTCCTTATAATTTTGCTCTTATGGGTTTTCCTATGACTTTTATATAACTCAATTTTTAGGTGACATCTCCATTCCTAGTAGCACAACCTCTGTCTAGTATGATTAGCCCTTGCTTTTGTCCTATGAATCTGAGAACTATTTGTTTTCATTTGCTCCAATTTTCTTAATTTTTTTTTGTCAAACAGCAGTAGGTTTGCCTATTGGCAATCTTATCCTGAAATCATTTCTAAGGAAGGCCAATGATAAGAAAATGCAAAAGCATCTCTATTGGCTTCCCTTGCCCCTTGGACTTTCTTGTCCAAGGTCACTTTGCTTATCCAGTGTCCACCTTGGTGGAAGTGTGTGTCAGAATAAGGTCATATTGGCTGGCGCTGCGGCTCACTAGACTAATCCTCTGCCTGCGGCGCCAGCACCCCAGATTCTAGTTCCGGATTGGGCACTGGATTCTGTCCCGTTTGCTCCTCTTCCAGTCCAGCTCTCTGCTGTGGCCCAGGAAGGCAGTGGAGAACGGCCCAAGTGCTTGGGCCCTGCACCCGCTTGGGAGACCAGGAGGAAGCACCTGGCTCCTGGCTTCAGATCGGCACAGTGCACTAGGGGGTGAACCAATGGAAGGAAGACCTTTCTCTCTCTCTCTCTCTCTCTCTCTCTCTCTCTCTGCCTAACTCTGCCTGTCAAAAAGAAAACAAAAGAATAAGGTCATATAACAGTGGATATTGTTGCCTGTGGTTTCATTTGCAGTGCCTGTTACTGATGGCTATCTTGCGAGCAATCCCAAGCAGGATAATACCATTGAGGGGTCAGCTACCAACAGCCATGCAAGCCAAGTCACTGCCCACCCTGTGGGCTCCGATGTCCTAAGAAAAGAGATGATCCAAAGAAAATGCCATTTTAGCAAATGGAGATTATCATACCGTATCCCTGGATTTCCACTTGAGGTGCAGAGGTAATCACGACTGTTATTCTTAGATGCATTTATTCTGTATTGCTCTCTCTATATATGAGTGCTTTACCTCATTTCCCTCCCCCCAATTTTTTCTTTCCCTGATTTGTTCTCTCCATCATCTGCAGTAACTTCTGTCTAGTCTTCCTTCTATTTTCCATTTGTAATGGCAGGGGAATGTGCCCTGGTTCTTGATTTCTTTCAATATAGAAATAGGGAAAGAGTCCAAGATGCAAAGTCGTAGTATTTTATTAGGCCAGTGAGAGAACAAAGGGAGGTGGGAGAAAGCTGCAGAGCTAGATGTCCAGTAGGGGAGTGTAATCGTGGGTCTCTAATAGGTACCCTAACTTCAGTTTCATCTGTGTCACTGGTGTGGCCACCAGGACATGGGTGTGGGAGTCACTGGGCTGTGATCTACCTGGGAAGGGGCTGTGGTAGGAGGGGTCCAGCCATTCCGTGCATTTTTTGAGCACTGAAGGCACATGACTGGTAGAGTCCTGGTGAGCATGCAAAATGGGAAGCATCATAAGTGGGGGAGAAGGGAAATTCACCAGCTTCCAGAGCATGCCTGTCCCTGCCTAAATCCTCCTATCATTACACATGGATTGCCAACCAGTCACTGTCATCTGCATCTCCTTGGCTGTACTCTAAGCTCTGCTCTTTCCCCATAGCTGCTGTCCTCATTATCCCACTCACAGACCTAGAGTCAAATTTGCCTTCAGATCCAGTGTTCAAGGGATTACCATGACCCAGTAGCCACACTTCAGGGACACACTCAAGCTACAATGAGGCAGACTTCATTAGATGGTACAATAAAGAGACATTGGTCAAAAGGTAAACTTAAGGGAGGGTGTTATGGCACATGCAGTCAAGCCACAGCTTGGGATGCCTGCATCCGTATTGGTGTGCTGCCTCAAACCCTGGCTACTGTACTTGCAATCTAGCTTCATAGTAATGGTTCTGGGAAATACATGGATGATGACCCACATATTTGGGTCCCTGCCACCTAGTTCTGCACTCCTAACTAGTGAATCAGTATATTTAAGTTCTTTCTCCCTCTGTTTCTATTCTTTCACTCTTTGTCTTTCCTTCTCTCTGTCACTTTGTCTTTCAAATAAACAAATGAATGTTTTAAAAAAGACAACCCTCTAATATTCACACAAAATATTATTTTCTAAATTAGACATAAGCACAGGGCTTCAAAAAATGTGTAGAGCAAGACAAGCTTAGACATTCTGACTTCTCCTACTAGTTTTGGGTCTGGTTTGCCGCAGTTTTTCTGGATCCTTGAGATGCATTGATAGCTCATTTGTTTGGTGCCTTTCTAATTTCTTGATGTAGGCACCTATTGCTATAGACTTTCCTCTTAACACTTTTTTGCTGTATCCCATAAGTTTTGATATGTTGTGTTGTTACCTTCATTTGCTTCCAAAAAGTTTTTGATTTCTCTTTTGATTTCTTCTATGACCCACTGTTCATTCAGGAGCATGTTGTTCAGTCTCCAGGTATTTGCATATGCTCTAGGAATTCCCGAGTTGCTAATTTCCAGCTTCATTCCATTGTGATCTGAGAAGATGCATTGTATGACTTGGATTCTTTTGAATTTGCTGAGACTTGTTTTATGGCCTCGTATGTGCTCAATCCTAGAGTTTCCATGCACTGCTGAGAAGAATGTACATTCTGCAAGTATAGGATTAAAGGTTCTGTAGATATCTGTTAAATCCATTTGGTCTGTAGTGTCGATTCAATCTGCTGTTTCCTTGTTGATTTTTCTGTCTGGTTGATCTGTCCATTACTGAAAGTGGAGTATTGAAGTCCCCCAATACTATTGTATTGGAGTCTAAGTCTCCCTTTAAGTTCCTTAACATATCTTTTAAATAACCCAGTGCCCTGTAATTAGGTGCATATAAGTTTATAATAGTTACATCTCCCTGTGGAATTGATGCCTTAATCATTATGTAGTGCCCCTCTTTGTCTCTCTTAACAGTTTTTGTGTTACAGTTTATTTTGTCTGATATTAAGATGGCTACACCAGCCCTTTTTTGGTTTCTGTTGGCGTGGAATATCTTTTTCCAACCTTTCACTTTCAGTCTGCATGCACTTTTGTTGGAAAGATGTGTTTCTTGTAAGCAGCAAATAGATGGGTTTCTTTTTTAATCCATTCAGCCAGTCTGTGTCTTTTAACTGGGGAGTTGAGGCCATTAACGTTCAGTGTGACTATTGATAAGTAGTGACTTTGCCCTGCCATTTTCCCAAAGATATTTCTAATATATACTTTGACTTTCTGTGATCTTTTACTGAGAAATTTTCTTCCTTTACCTTCTTTCGTATTGATGACCGTGTTTCTGTGTGTAACACATCTTTAAGCATCTTTTGCAGGGCTGGACAAGTGGTGACACATTCTTTCAATTTCTGTTTGCTGTGAAAGTTTTTTATTTCACCTTCATTCACAAATGAGAGCTTTGCAGGATATAATATCTAGGTTGGCAGATTCTCTCAGTACTTGGGTTTTTAATTTGTTCTATTGAATTCTTCATTTCATTTCAATTTCTTTTCAATATCTCAATTTCATGTTCTATTAAATTCCTCATTTCATTTTGATTCTTCAAGATTTCATTTTTACAAGAGAAATTTTCTGTCTTGTCCTTCATGGATTTCAGCAGTTCATGCATTTGTTTTAGATTACATCTCAATATTCTTATCATAAATTTTTTGTTCCATTTCTTGCATTTCTTCCATCTCATCATCTTCTTAATCTTGTATTGGAGTGTCATTTTCTTTCGGGAGCATCATGTTTTCTTCCTTTTTCTTGTTTCCTCGATTTTTCCGTTGTTGTTTGGCATTGTGGAAATATGCTTTGGTTTCTTCTTTTTTTTTCACTATGGTGGCTTTTCTTGTTATACTATGACTCTAGATTAAGTGGACTGTCTGTGGTTGGTGTGGCCAGAGAGCTCTGTTCAGTTCTTCAGGGTTAAGGGTGTGCTTAAGGTGACACACCCAGGTTTGGCGTGGTAAATCAATCTCCCTTTCCCCTACCTCTTTCTTTGTCTCTCTCTCTCTCTTTCTCTCTCTCTCTTTTTAATCAGAAGGGAAGTAATCAGCTGAACACTTCTCCTCGATGGCAATCAGTGCCTGAGCGCTATCCCCAGTGTATACAATATTCATCTGCTCTGTCCCAAGAACCACACAAAAGATCTGTGCAGTCCTCAGTGTAAGCTTAGAATCCCCTGCAATGTCTCTCACTGGGTAGCCAGGGCCTCCCGAGCTTGTGGCATCTCCCAACAAGACTACTCACATCTCAGCCAAACCATGAGTTCTCCCACACACCCCACACACCCTCCGTTGTGTTTTTTTTTTTTTTTTTCACAGTCCTGGTTCATAAGTTCCACACATTCACTAGGTCTTAGTCTCTTGTTATTACTCCCCACCAGAGTCAGGTTTTTCCGCTTGGGTGGGCACAGCCCCAAGCTGGTGCAACTGTTATGTATGTCCAAAATGGCGCCTGCTGTATTGTCTCACTCGCTTTTGTAAGGTGTGTGGAGAGTGAATCGTGTCCATACCATCCCTTTTATTTTTTCTCTCTTCTAGTTAGGCTTGTGTACTTTCCCTCATGGGGCTACAAGCCTTGTTCCCTCTAGGTTCTTCCTGCTGCTTTTCCACCAGTGTCACGGGCTACTATGGTTTTGTCTCACCTCTCTTTCCAGCGCTAGTGCAGAGACAGCAGCTGGGGTCCCGAACCGTGGGAGTCCGTGCCCTCCACGTAGATCCACGGTGTCCCTCTAATTCCAGAAGACTTTCCTCTACTGTTTTTTCCCTATCTGTTCCCTAAGACTACACTGTCTCCACTTTTAATAAACTGTATTTTCCTGGACTTTCAGTGAGCTCCTTCCCTATTCCATCATCTTGGAACTTCCACCAACTTCTGTCTTTTTTATCTCTCAATGCCAATTTCAAATATTCAGGTAAAAATCTCGAAAATGAGTTATTTGACATTTTGTGATCTGATGGTTGTTTATAGCCCTTGTCTCTATTGTTAAGGAACATTGTTTTTTTTTTTTCTTCTTACTGTTTGTTGAACTCTTACTTAGTGTAGGATTAATTTTATGAGTATAAAGTAAACTGAAAGTAGATAATTGTAAATCTTGAGAGAGTGAATAAGAGAGGAAGGAGGAGGAAGTATAGGAGTGTGGACAGGGGGAAGGGTAGGATGGGAAGTCTCACCATGTTCCTAAATCTGTATATATGAAACGTATACACTTGAATAAATTAAAATAAAAAAGAGAATGAGTTAGTTATTGAACATGAGACCACAAAATAGAGCAGCTCATTGTAGTGAGTTAACTCGGGGCAAACCCATGAAGATCCAAGAAGATAAGCAAGGCCCAGGCCAATCTTTGCTCCAGTGATTCTAATTGAGAACGAGCCTCCTTGCCTTGGGCAAGTAAAGTGAGAAGGAGAGTGACCTCCCTCAGTCTGTCAGAGGGAAGATGAAAAACTTGAAGGCCAGGGGGGATGAAGTTCATGTTTAATAGATGGAAGGAAAGGAAAGGAATGGGATAAAGTAGGTGAGGACTGTTGAGCAGTTCTAAATGACGCTGTGCTTTTAGTAAACTCTGGGTACACTTTGAACTAGCTTGGATGCTTTGACCCAGTACCCTGGATTCTGTCTTCAATGGACAGGGAAAGGCCAACGTTCAATTTCCTGTCCTCTTGGTTAACTCCCTTGGAGTTTGACTTTATTCCTTTTTCTCCTGGACAAAACACTTGCCAGATTTCTCTCTAAGGCCTTATTCCTATTTCTATGTACTCAAGGTGACTCAACAGCCTCTTAAGACTATTGAAGCCTCCAGATTGAATTTTCTCCTCTCCATTCTTCAGATTTCTTTTTTTTTTTTTTTTTTTTTTTGACAGGCAGAGTGGACAGTGAGAGAGAGAGACAGAGAGAAAGGTCTTCCTTTGCCGTTGGTTCACCCTCCAATGGCCGCCGCGGCTGGCGCGCTGCGGCCGGCACACCGCGCTGATCCGATGGCAGGAGTCAGGAGCCAGGTGCTTTTCCTGGTCTCCCATGGGGTGCAGGGCCCAAGCACCTGGGCCATCCTCCACTGCACTCCCTGGCCACAGCAGAGAGCTGGCCTGGAAGAGGGGCAACCGGGACAGAATCCGGCGCCCCGACCGGGACTAGAACCCGGTGTGCCGGCGCCGCTAGGCGGAGGATTAGCCTAGTGAGCCGCGGCGCCGGCCCATTCTTCAGATTTCTAAAAAAGAGCTGGAGACAAGGATTAAGAACAATTCTTATGTCTTTAGTTACATCTCTTTTGTTAAAGGACAGACTGGACTTGGATGTTTCTGAGATTACCGTTGGCTCACACATCTACTCTATTCCCATAGTCACCTATTCTTCCCTCTGAAACACAGAATTATAATAGTTGAATTTACTGAAGGAGGTCCCTTCGCTTTCAACTGTCTTTCTGAATGTGCATGATTGGTGCTAGGAACATCTATCCTTAAGAGATGGGAAAAAGCATTGGCAAGACCATGGAGAAGGATTAGGAGGAAAATGGGTGTTATCACCAGCTTCTAGTTAGAAGAGTGCAGGACCAGGCCGGCGCCGTGGCTCACTTGGCTAATCCTCCACCTGCAGTGCCAGCACCCCTGGTTCTAGTCCCAGTTGGGGCGCCAGATTCTGTCCCGGTTGCTCCTCTTCCAGTCCAGCTATCTGCTGTGGCCCAGGAAGGCAGTGGAGGATGGCCCAAGTGCTTGGGCCCCGCACCCCATGGGAGACCAGGGCAGGTATGGAGGGGGAGCACCTGGCTCCTAGCTTCGGATCAGTGTAGCGCGCCGGTCATAGCAGCCATTTGGAGAATGAATCAACAGAAGGAAGACCTTTCTCTCTGTCTCTCTCTTTCTCTCACTGTCCAACTCTGCCTGTCCATAAAAAAAAAAAAAGAAGTGTGCAGGACTCCCATATTCTGCATCACAGGCTGGACTCTAAGTTTAGGGAGGCATTCTACCTTGTAGGTATCATTTTCCCACTTCAGTCAACCTGAAGCTCATCTTCTCCACATGTTTCTCTGTCTCTGGCTTCTGTGACTACTGGGCAATCCCTCCAGACTCAGCTATCAGCAAGACCTGACCTCTTATTGAATTTCTCTCTCTTTCTCTGTCTCCCTCTCAGATATCAGGAACTGCTGGAGCTACAGGGACCTGCACTGGCTACAATGAAAGGGTGCAAATAAAAGTAGCTTTCCTCATTAATGAGCAACATCTTGATAGAAAATCCAGTCATGTCCTACCCTATCCACTCAAGATTTGTTCTCCATCAGGATGGAAGACATTGTTTCAGTCTCATATTATTGTTACCACCTAAGGACACCTAGGCCTGAGACCTTAACTTGGGCACCTCTCAATTCTCACCACATAACCAACAAGATCTGGCAACATCCAGGAGTGAGTAACACGCTAAGTCAGACAAGTGTTGCCTCCAGCTAGAAGCAGAGTTTTTGCTGTTCAGCCTGAATTGAATGAAGAAGCATTTGTCAGACAACTACAGAATGCTGAGCATTGACCAACGGGTGTGGCTTTGACAGAAATTGTCAATGACAACAAAAAGAAGCGGTATTTTTTGCTTAAAGAGTACGTTACTGTATTCCTTTAGTCCTGTGGAAACAAAAGCATCTCCTCGCCTTGTTGTCACTGACAGTGGTGACATTACCTTGTTTTGGAGGGCATGTCAGTTTCTGGTCTCAGGAATTTGACAATTTCCTCATGATTCGCTTGGCCCTAAACATTACTCCCAAACAGTACTCCCTGTTACTTCACATCTGGAGGCAAAGCATGGACAGTTTGTCCATCAACATTACGGTCACACTAGGATTGGATATCAAGTTACAGTCATTTTGATATGTATCCAAAAGATACTTTACTCTTATATTATCAAAAACCGTAGAGACTGGCAATTGAAGAATGTATAGATACTCTATTCTCTATTGATTTTTCTGCAGAGATTTTGCCACCAATTACTCATCTCCGCCTGGATTGGTTCTTATATTCATTTGTGTACATTGGAAATCTTCTATTTTATTATTTCTATATACTAATATTTATTGAATTTCTGTAGTATAAGTGAACATCCCTTCTATTATTCCATACCAATAAATATTTTGTTTTGTTTGCTATCATTGTGGTCCTGGTAATTATTTAAATTAAGTATTACAGTCGCCAGCAGCGTGGCTCACTAGGCTAATCCTCCACCTGCAGCACCAGCACGCTGGGTTCTAGTCCCGGTCAGGGCGCTGGATTCTGTCCTGCTTGCTCCTCTTCCAGTCCAAGCTCTCTGCTTTGGCCTAGAAGGGCAGTGGAGGATGCCTCAAGTGCTTGGGCCCTGTACCCACATGGAAGACCAGGAGGAAGCACCTGGCTCCTGGCTTTGGATTGGCGCAGCATGCCAGCCATGGCAGCCATTTGAGGGCTGAACTGATGGAAAGGAAGACCTTTCTCTCTGTCTCTCTCTCTCTCACTGTCTAACTCTGCCTGTCAAAAAATAAAATAAAATAAAATAAAAGTATTACAATCAATCCATTACTAACAAGATTGCTTTTGGTGAATATGGAAATATGCTTATTTCACTATTTATGTGATATTATAAATTCTCCTCAAGAGTGTGCTCTACTTAAAATATTGGGAGTTTGTTATTATCTTACCTTTTTTTTTCAATAGAGAAGCACTTTTCCTTTGACATTAGAATGAGCTAACACATACATGTGAGCTACTGTTTAGATGCCTGTGTCACATCTCTCAGCATATTACAGCTGCTATAACAAAATACCACACTCTACTTAGCTTATGAGATACAGAAACTTACTTCTCGTAGTTCTGCATGCTGGAAGGTCTGTGGTATTTGATGAGGGCTCCTTTCCTGGTATAAATGGTTTCTTCGGTGTATATCCTCACATGATAGCAGGTCAAGGTAGCTCCTGGCAGCCTACATTTTAAGAGAACTAATGATATTCATGAGGGCTCTGCCCTGATGATTTGATGAACTCTCAAAAGATGCCACTCCTAATACTAAGACTTTAGAGGTTAGTATTTGCACCTATTCATATAAGAGTCCACACACACACTTGGATCATGCCACCCCCTCTCTGATCTGACGAGCCAGGGGGGAAGCAGAAGGAGGATAGAGAGATAGGATATGGAAATTGGGGAGGGATAAGGATGGTAAATATCAAATATTTTCCTCCTTGGGCAAAAATGTCCTTTCTGACCTCCATCTCATTCAAATCTGTGATCACCCCTCACTCTGGTCTCCATCCCTCAGCCTTCTTTCTTTCCACAAAATAGCCATGCAGCCCTGCTGTCTTCCCCTGGTGCTGCAGACTCTGCATTTTTACTGATACTCTCCAAGTCCCAGTGCCTGAGGACTCTACCCTCCCACCCCAATTCTCCACAGACTCTTGTCTTCTGGTTTTAGAGGGCCCAAAGCACAAGAATGTCCCTGTGAAATGCACATACAGATGGAATGGTTGGATCCCTCTGCTAGCTGGAAGCCAGCTGTGCCAGCCAGTTCTTTCCTGAAGAGATGTGTGAAGACCACAAGATTGCATTAGATGTGCAGGATGTGTTTAGACACCACACTGATAATGTCCTTGTCACTGAACCCTGAATCTATTAATCCATCACATTATTGCAATTTATTTCAGTTTTTTTCATTATCATTGCCTAGAATGCATATCTGGCTTTACACATTTTTAACCCTAACCAAAAATGCTTGCACTGCTCTAACCCAGGAACCCAGAACTCCAGTCCTGGTGCAATCTATAGACATGCTTGCTCCTATGCCCAAACAATGAAGACCAATGGCCACATTGTGTCCAGGGGTCAAAACCTGGAAACAACCTAAATACCCACCATTACTAGGATGAAGAATCATGCTGTGGCATGTTATTAGCAATGAAAATGTCTGAATACTTGATAATTACTACACTCAACACTGTGAGAAAAAAACCATTGAGTGCACACAAGTGTAACAGCAAACTCCAATATTAAAACTACATTCTTTGCTGTGGACTCTGATTAGGACTCTGGTTACATATCAAAATTAAACAATACAAATGTAGAATTAGTTAGGTCAAACGAGCTCTATGGAAGCGTCCTCAAGGGCATTCTAGTTTGAGACTCAATTTGAGAAACTGGCCTAATCAATCCTAAGAGCAGGCATACAAAATATTGAAAGAGAGATACTACAATTTCCCACATACTTTTTACCTGATAAAAGCAAATGTAGTTTTTAAAAGAAATTTAAAACAATTACCCAGATAGAATCAAAAAGAGAAGATTCAACATTTTTAGACGTTGGTCTTCTGTTATTTGGATATTGAAGCCTTTCTGGTTTTTGTGCATTTTTTATCTTTCATTTTTTTATAAATATAAATTAAACATGGAACAGCCTCTAACACTCAGGTGGGAGAAGAGGATAGAGTTCCTGGCTCCTGGCTTTGGCCTCCCCCAGATCTAGCTGCTAGAGCCATTTTGTATTTGGGGAATGAATCAGTCTGTCTCTCTTTATATCTCTGTTCCATGACTTTCAAATAAATAAATCTGTCTTTTATAAAAGCCAAATTGATTTAAAATGTTCTAAAGTTACTGGCAGTAAGATGACTAGGTCTCTGAATGTCATAGTAATTCTCAATATTAGAATAACCGGTCCCACCAATACATATGATTCCCTTCTTTACATGGTAAAGAATGGTTATGGCTGGCGCTGCAGCTCACGTGGCTAATCTGCCACCTGTGGCGCCAGCACCCCGGGTTCTAGTCCCAGTTGGGGTGCCAGATTCTGTCCCGGTTGCTCCTCTTCCAGTCCAGCTCTCTGCTGTGGCCCGGGAGGGCAGTGGAAGATGGCCCAAGTGCTTGGGCCCTGCGCCCACATGGGAGACCAGGAGGAAGCACCTGGCTCCTGGCTTCGGATCGGTGCAGTGCTCCGGCCACAGCGCACTGGCCATAGTGGCCATTTGAGGGGAGAACCAACAGAAAGGAAGACCTTTCTCTCTGTCTCTCTCGCTCACTGTCTAACTCTGCCTGTCCAAAAAAAAAAAAAAAAAAAAAAAAAGATTGATTGGCTATAAGAATAACTTGTCCAGAGGTTTAGTTACTTAAAATTTATACATCTAATATTCCATTCTTATCACAATTACTACTAGCTCCCAGATGAGGCTCCAGAACTATATTTCCTGATAACGAAAGTGAGAAGAAAGTGACTCTCTGAATATATGATTATATCAAGGACCAGGAGGTTCCAAGATGGCGGAATAGGGAGGGAGCTTACTGATCTAGTCCAGGAGTAGATAGTTTAATAAAAGTGGAGATAGTGTAGTTTCAGGGAAGAGTTACGGAAAAAAAACAGCAGATGAAACTCTTTCGTAATTAGAGGGACACAGTGGACCTACGTGGATGACATGGGTGCCCAGCAGCCGAGAGCATCTTCACCAGTGCTGGAAAGTGAGTTGAGATGAGACTGCAGTAGCCTGAGACACTGGTGGAAAAGTGGCAGGAAGAGCCTAGAGGGAACGAGGCTGAAGACCCCATGGGGGAAAGTACACCACCCTAACTAATGAGAGAAAAAATAAAAGGGATGGTACAGATACGATTGGTACAGATACAGATACTTTCTCCAGTCACCTTACAAAGGTATATGAGCCTGTAGAGTGGGCACCATTTTAGACATATGTAACAGCTGCGCCAGTTCTAGGCTGTGCCCAGCAATCAGCTGAGCAGAAAAACCTGACTCTCATGGGGAGTAATAACAGGAGACTAAGACCTAGTGACTGTGTGGAGCTTCTGAAATGGGACTGTGAAAAAAAAAAACAAACTGAGGGTGTGTGGAGAACTCACAGTGAGGGTGAGACTTTGAGTAGTCTCGGTCGGAGTTGCCACAAGCTGGGGCAGCACTGGCTAGCCGGTGAGAGACATTGCTGTGGAATCTGACTTACACTGAGGACTGCACAGATCCTTTGTGTGGTCCTTGGGACAGAGCAGAGAAATATACCCACTGGGGCTAGCACTCAGGCACTGATCACCATCAAGGAGAAGAGCTCAGCTGAGCAGAATTACCTCCCTTCTGATTAAAAAGAGAGAGAGAGAGAGGGAGTTACCATGCCAAATCTGGGTGTCACCTTAGCCACACCCTTAACCCTGAAGAACTGAACAGAGCTCACTGGCTACACTCACCACAAGCCTCCAGAGATTCACTGAGAGCAGGCAGTCCACTTACCTACAGAGTGTAGTACAACGAAAAAAGCTGCCACAGTAGAAAAAAAAAAAGAAGAAACCAACGAGTATCCCCACAAATGCCGAACAACAAATGCAACAACTGAGGAAACAAGAATAAGGAAGACAACATGACACTCCCAAAAGAACATGACACTTCAATACAAGATTATGAAGATGATGAGGTAAAAGAAATGTAAGAAATAGAACTCAAAAAATTGATAAGAATATGTAGAAGTAATCAAAAACAAATGCATGAACTACTGAAATCCATGCAAGACATGACAGAAAATCTCTCTCGTGAAAATGAAATCTTAAGGAGGAATCAAAATGAAATGAGAAATTAATAGACCATGAAATTGAGATATTGAAATCAAAATGAAATGAAGAATTCAATAGAACAAATAAAAGACACATTTGAGAGCCTTAAAAACAGAATCAGTGAGGCAGAAGAGAGAATATTGGAGTTAGAAGACATAGCATAGGATAGTATACAGTGAAACCAAAGACAAGAAGAGGAAATTAGGAATCTAAGAAATATTGTTGGGAATCTACAGGATGCTATTAAAAAAAAACAACACTTGGGTTCTAGGAGTTCCTGAAGGCATGAGAGAGAGAAAGGATTAGAAGGCCTTTTTAGTGAGATACTAGCAGAAAACTAACCGGGTTTGGAGAAAGAAAGACGTCCAAGTACAGGAAGCACATAGAACTCCCAATAAACATGACCAGAAAAGATCCTCACCAGGACACATTGTAATCAAACTCACCACAGTGAAACATAAAGACAAGTTTCTCAAATGTGCAAGAGAAATGCCAGATTACTCTCAGAGGATCTCCAATTAGACTCACAGCAGACTTCTCATAAGAAACCCTACACTCCCCCCTCTTGTCTCTCTTCTCTCTGCTCTCTCTCTTCTCTCCTTGCTAGCTCCTCTCCTATCTTTCTCTCTCTACACTCTCCTTCTCTCTTTTTCCCTCTTTGCCCCTTCCCTCCAGTCTGCTGGGTTTTCCCCAATAAAACCCTCCCTTAAAAAAAAAAGAAAAAGAAACCCTACAGGCTAGGAGGGAATGGCAAGATATAACACAAGTACTAAGAGAAAAATCTGTCATCCCAGATATTATATCCTGCAAGGTTGGTTCAACATTTGTAAATCAATAAATGTGATACACCACATTAACAAACTGCTGAATAAAAAATATATGATTATCTCGATAGATGCAGAGAAAGCATTTGACAAAATGCAACACCCTTTCATGATGAAAACTCTTAGCAAATTGGGTATAGAAGAAACATTCCTCAACACAATCAAGGCAAATTATGACAAAGACATGGCCAACATCCTATTGAATGGGGAGAAGTTGAAAGTATTCCCACTGAGATCCAGTTCCAGACAGGGATGTCCACTCTCACCCTTGCTATTCAATATAGTACTGGACGTTTTAGCCAGAACCATTAGGCAAGAAAAAAAAATGAAAGGGATACAAATTGGGAAGGAAGAAGTCAAACTATCCCTATTTGCAGAAGGCATGTTAGTTGATCCAAAGAACTCCACTAAGAGATTATTGGAATTCATTGGTAAAGTAGCAGGATAAAAAATCAATACACAAAAATCAACAGCCTTTGTATACATAATGTCATGGCTGATAAAGAGCTGCTAAGATCAATCCCATTCACAATAGTTTCGAAAAAATGAAATATCTTGGAATAAACTTAAC